ATACACAACTGATAAAGCGCTTTCACCAGCCGTTGTGCCTGCTTGATGAGAGCTGTATCTCTAGTTTTTTTTCCGTTTTGACTAGGAGACTGGACATTGATAACGAGAGCACACCTGCCCACTGCAGCTCCGCAACCATTTGTGCTAGAAAAGGAGTATAGGTCCCTTGAAAGCTACACAAATTACAGACGACGGATCCAATTAACAGCACTGAAAAACTTAGGAAATGACATGGGTTTCCATCAGCTTCGATTTCGATGTCGTAAGAAGAGCATCAACCGAACCATTCACATCATGACAACCAACAACACCGCTGGACACAAAGTACTGGATCACTTCCTCGTCAAAGCAACATGGCCGACAGCGTGTGGCTCGTTTGAAAGACTACAAGATGACAAGTCGATTCTTGCACAGAATTGCCTGAAGTGGGGTCGTAATGGTGGAAAAGTCGAGGTGAATAGATGGTGAAGATTTTCCGGTTATGGAAGCAACCGAATACACAATGATGCTATTGTATGGGAAAACAAGTACTACTTTTCCAGCCTAAGTTATCCCTGTGATGATTTTACTGGAGATACCTATGAAGCCCTCAAAGTTGGGTACATTTGGGAATTGTTTGTTCGTTAAAGTTAAAAACTGCATTGATGTCTAGGAAGTCTGAAGTTTCCCTGCGCCATCTTGAAAGGTAGCTATCATTGTACGTCCAACGGTTGTCTCGCTTCGACACAAAGGCACGGATACTTTTCAAGATGGCGTAGTTAGCCATGAAGAGGACTATTAAACTTAAACCCTGGATTTAGACAAAGATATCAGCCAGAGAGGATTATGAGCTCAGCAAAATGCATAACAAGATTTTTTTATTATGCATCACATTATGACAGCCAACAGCACTGCTGGCAAGAAATATCTGGATCGTTGAAACAACATGGACGACCGACAGCGTGCTACTCCTTATAAAATCTTTTGTTTTGAGAGGGTAGCACGTAATAGTCCTTAGACTAATAAACTTGTGGCCCTCTATATATTCACTCATACTCACTACCTCAACATTCATTATTTTACTACACGACACTCCTCACAGCTAGTTTTTGACTGAGGGAGGAAAACCAGCGGACCTGGAGAAAAACCCTCGGAGCAAGGAAGAGAACCAGCCTACAAACTCAAATCACATATAGTCCCGGACCGGGAATCGAACCAGGACCACAGCGGTGATAGACCGGCGTTTTAACCGCTCGGCCATCCTTGCTCCCCT